ACTCTGGAGTTAAGCCATCTCCTACCTTCAGTTTTCTTCCTGTTTTTTGCCTTGGTGGTGCAGAATTAGTGGCATGGAGCTGTCTAGAGAAGTGGGGGAAAGAATAGCGTGTAAATTTACTTTCAGGTCACAGGCCCTCATGCTACTGGAGTGACTCACTTGAAGTGATACTAGTGTCCGAGATAAACCTCTCAGATGCGTCATACAATATGCTTATTATCGTAATTAAACTGTCACAATATAATTATCATCCTTGGCTCAGCAGCCTATCAACCTATGTATCACTGCTGCATTGTCTCTCTAAATGAATGTATCTGCACAAGCCATTGTGGATCAGCTTATGGCCGTGGAGCCATCCTGGTCTCCCACTGCAGGCATCCCTTCTCCTGATACAAGGCAGGAGGGACTGTTACTTGTTGATGCCGTTGCCTCCAGCAGCAAGCTGCTTTGGTTTGCAAACTGACTTCATTCTCATTCTCTCTCCTCTCAGCTGCATTTTGCTATGCAGCTCTCGCACAAAGTGCCACATGCTGTCACTGGCTTGGTGTTGTCCTGATGGTGCCTTCTCCCTCGTCAGGCACTGCCACATCTCCATCTCCATGCTTAGGACTGTCTTCAGATCCTTCTCCACTCAGACTCTGCCTCCCTCAAACCACAAGGCCATAGACAGTAGCAGCTATCCTTCAGTTGTGGCACGCTGGGGATAGCCTGTCAGAGTGAGGAAGTCTGGTAACGCGTGGAGGAGGCAGGGCAGGCTCTCAGATCCGTGAAGCCGTGATGACACTGGCTTGAATGGGTTCTGTTGGGTTGAGAAAATGTCTGGTGCCATGTGTAAGTGGTAGAGAAGTGATGGGGGTGAGGTATCACCACATCATTTCTGACATAGTGGTGAAGTTCATGCATCTTGCAGAGGATTAGCATGACAGTGTGTCATGATGCCAGGGAGCAGGACCTCTTATAAAAGGGATTACTCTTTGGTGTAAGATGGCAAGTGAAGTAATGAAGTGTGTGCAAGGGAAATTAAAGAGGGGTTTCTGAGCCAGCAAAGCAAAGGTGGTGTTGGAGAAGATGCTGCCTCAGGTAACCATCATAGCTGAGCAATGAGAATTCCCAAAAATTCCTCCCATCCCCCCACCCCAGCTGGCAAATGAAATGCCTGGTAGATGCATGTTGTGTTCCACCTTGTTGGCAAAGGACCTCTTGTAGATAAATGTGTGACTTTCCGTGTGTGTTGTTGAACATGCAGGATTATTACAGGGGTTTGCATTGCTCCAGAAAGATCAGCTAAGGTGCATTTTATGGTGGACCTTTTGCTGTGAGTCCTTGTCTTTACAGGTACACCTGAAAAATTCATAACTCTGCATCTGAGATAAGTCAAAAGACTTCCAGTGAATGATTTAGTTTTTGTGTGTCTGAGCTGCAGCCTATATTCTTGGAAGTCCTATTTGAGAAGTTAGCTAAACATGCTTTCAGAAGTGTTTTTTTTCCTGACAGTCATAGGAGCAAAACAAGCTTTGAAAATAAAATGACAGTTAAAATGAGCGTTGACAATGCAAAGCAGTAGTATATGATTATAGTGTTGTTTTAAATATACCCAGTAACATTTTTAATGCATCAGAAAGGGTAATCTAACTTCTCTAACTGATCTTGTAACTTATTATGATAGCTGACTAAGAAAGTGAGGCTAACTCTGTGGAAGAAACGTATGAGTTTTACAGTTGTCCTTCTTGAAGTTTCAAAAAAAAAAAAAAACCCACCAAACCCCATGTCACAAACATGTTTCTTCTCCTAAATGCATTTTGTTTGGTTTATTAACTAGGTAAAGAAAAATGATTGCATGGGATCAAAAGAAATTGCTTATTACAATTTTAGGTTGTAGCATCTGTTCAGAGAAGGGGAAGGGTAGGCGAAGATGCAACTTAGTTTTACTAGAAATGTAAGAAGAATGAGATTTTGAAAAAGAGATTTACGTCTTTTTAGTAAATATGCTTCTATTTTAAAAAGCTTGCTATTGGGCCTTGGAATAAGCATGACTAAGATATATGCTGGTGTCTTAGCAACAAAGCAGATGTGAAAACGGTGTTTTAAAATCTGTCTGCATAGAGATGATCTGTGCTTGTCTGAATAATGGTGTGCCTTCCTCAAAGTCAATAGAACGGCACCAGTCTAGAGCAGGACTTGTGTGGTGGTAGATAAATGTATTTAACTTGGATATTTTCTTCTCATTCCATTTTGCTTCTTTACACAGGGAGTGAAGTATCTGTGCATTCCTG